GGGGGGGGGGGGGGGGGGGGGGGGGGGGGGGGGGGAGGGAGCAGAGAGAAGCAGCAGTCCAAAGAGGGAGTGCACAGCTCCTAGGATGTCTCCCTGTTCCCTCATGTTCAGCTGCTCCTCAACCCCTCTGTCAGAGAGGCTGTACCCTTTGGATATCTGCTACTTTCTCTTGGTCCCTGGGGTTCAACTAGCTCTGGCTTCAATCCCCTACAAAAATTCCTGAGATCTCGGGGACCCCAGCCAGCCCTGCTCTTGCAGTATTCCTTGATAAGGAAGGGCTGGAGAGCCCGTCAGAGTTCACTGGAGTGTACACAAGAGTGATGGTCAGGAGCACAGTAGGGTCTCTGAGGCTCCTGTTCGTTCCAAAAGCACACAAAGGGGAAGGCTGCCGTAGAGCTTGGGGTCCGTCAGGGGCTGAAGCAGAAGCAGGAAGAGTCCCACACCAAGAGCATAGCCTGCCAGCAGTGGCCACTTCTGTGGATGCTCCAGGGCTGCGCACACAGCAGGGAAGCCCATGTAGTTGCAGAAGGAGTGGCAAAGAACTGGCCCTATCAGGTGTCCTGGAGAGGGAGATGGTGTGACATGAAACGGCCCCACCACTTCTGACCCCCATGTCATAATCTTTCAGACCTTAACAAGCTGAGGGCCCTGGCTCAGTCTGCTTCAAGGACTGTGCTAGAAGAAACTGTCACATTCATAGTACCCCCTCCTCCCACCCTCATCTGGGGCCCCAGGACCAACCTGTGCGGATGAAGAGGAAAGCTGTGTAAGCACCGAAGACAGCGGTGTAGGAGAACTGGAACGCTGGAGACAGGAGCTGCGAGTGACTACACCTGATGCCCACCCTGCCCCAGCCCTGCACATCCCACAGCCAGAGACCACCCTTTCCCCTTTGACAGTGGCTGCCCCGCCATCTATGGCTGTTTTCTGTACCCCACCTCTCATGACCAGTGGTCCCCATTCAACATTTATAGCCCTGTGTTTCCAGCTCTTTCTGTAGAGTGGCTGTCAGGCATATCATAACACCCAGCCCCCAGCTGTGCCAAGCAAGCTCCCCAGGCTCACCTGCAGACAAGAAGATACTCCCCACACTGCTTTGGCGGAAACGTAGCTGCTCAATAATGTGATGAAAATGGGCTGGGAGGAAAGTGAAAACCACATCGTATTCCTCTGGCCTGCTATCTAGCTCACCCCTCATCCCAAGCCCCATTTTCAGCCCTCATGCTGGGAACATCTTTACTGGACCAGTTAGACTCACCAACTCCAAAAAAGAGCGGGCAGGTGAACACAGCAGGGCCCAGACCTGTGCATGGCGCTAACATGGGCAGCATACAAGCCCGGAACACCAGCTCCTCTGTCAAGGGTGCAATAACTTGGTTTCGTAGCCAGCGCATGTCTGTGAGGCAGCGGGCCCAAGAGCGAGGGGCTAGGGTAAATTCAGGATAAATAATGAGTGCCTAGTTACTAAAAAGAGGGACCTTACCACCCAGGGGCCTCTCCCACAGAATTATTCTGGCCAAACTCAGGTCAGGAACCCTGAGAATCAGAACAGGGAAGGGAACAAATCTCAGCACACATAATCACAATGTCTTGAGATATAGCTGACAGTGGTAAGGGAAGGGAACAGTAGATGAGGGAGTCAGTAAATTTAACCAAGGCCAGTCTGGGGAAGCCAAGGATGGAAAAGCAGGGGAAGGTGCTTCTGACCCAAATCAAGTACTGTTTTGGGTCCTGAAAGACCTCCTTGAGTATCATAAATTTACAAGGTACCCAGCAATATGATCCACTTTACTGGTGAAGAAATACACCCAGAGAGGTGACATCTCGCCTCTTCAGTCCAGGTCACAGCATCTCACTGACTCCTTTCCCCAGTGTCCTGGACTGCCTGTGCCTACCTTTTCCTCAGTCTTGAAGACTCACCCAGGACAACCTTCAGCCCATCTGTCAGGTCACATGGGCAATCCATAGAGAGCTGCATCAGTGGACCCAGGAAAAGGATCTGGGGGCAGAAAGACTCAAATGAAAGACTCACCACAACCCAATGACCTTGCTCACACAGTGCCCTTGGTCAGCCTCAGGACCAAGTTTCCTGAGTTCTAGGATTTCCCAGTCATGCACACCAGGGGGCTCAAGGGTCATATCACACTTCCTGTCTGCCAACCTCCAAGACTGGACACAAGGGCATTTCATTATACTAGTGAACACAGGGCAGGAAAAAGAAACCAGGACTCACCATAGTTAGCAGCAGCGGCAGCAGAGCTGCTGGGAAAATGCCCTCCAGCCTGAAGCCCATCAGGGTGAGCAGTGATGTGCCTGGCTGAGCCACAGGAAAGGGGGCATCAGTGATGTTCCCTCCCACAAAAACCTTGGATTCTTTCCCTGCTTGCCCTGTGCCCCGCCTCCTCCGCACCTGGATGCCAGTGAGTTCCCGCCAGAGTAGCACGCAGAGAGGGGACAGGCTGGAGACCACCAAGACACTGGTGAAACGCCGCTTGATGACAGCAGGGTGGTCCCTAGGAAGGATCAGTAAGTTCAGGGGGCCTGTAGCAGCCACTTGCCAATGCGGCTCCACCCCCGTACGGCCCAAGCCCCGCCCACAGCCCCGCCTCGCGGATTCCGGCCGCGCGCGCGCAGCCCCCGCACCTGGGCAGCTCGCTCTTCCACACGTAGAGGCTGCCCACGTAGGAGCAGGCGAGGCTGAAGCAGGAGAACACAGACACCCAGCAGCACAGCCCCGGGCCCGGGCCGCTCAGCGCGGCTGACTCGGGCTGCCGCTCAGGCCGCGATACCGACAGTAGGCGCAGCCCGTCCCCGCCCAGCGCCGCCATCACGCCCGGACCCGTGGCGCGCGGCAGTGACGTATCTGCGTGGATGACGTCAGGCGGCGGCGCGAGCTGCCGGTGGCCCCGAGGTGCCCCTCCCCTTGCACCGTAGCAGAGACTCTGTGCTTGGAGCAGCTTTATTGAACTCTAGAAGGCACGACACCCGTGTTCCGGGCGCGTTGGCCCGCTGGGATCCTCAGTAGCGGACGTTTAGAACCTGCGTCCTGGACTCAGCCACTCGGACAGATTGGAGACCTCTTGCAGCCACAAGTCCTGCAGGAGCAGAGGACACAGTGGTGAGGACCCAGCGGCAGCAGCCCAGGCTGGCACCCGCCCTGCGCTCGCCGCAGTACCTCCAGGCCGCCCGCAGGGCTCGCTGCGTCTGGCGCCGGGGCCCTGCTTTGGGCCGCTGGGGCGGGCGATCCTCTGGCATTGGGGGAGGCCACAGTGGGCTCGTGGTGGCGTGCGGCGCACTCTGGAGGGCTCGGATCCCTGGCGGAGCACAGAGCTTGCGGTTCTTCCCTGCCCAGGCTGGGGCTTCTCTTGAGCTTCTTGTTTTCTGCTTGCCCGCTGCTCTCTAGGAGAAGAAAAGTCCATTTCAAATCTTGCTCCCGCAGCCTTATGCTAGTGCTGCAGAGTCTTGAGGCAGGGGAGCTGGGCGTGGGCATGGTTCTAAATGAGCTCTCCCACTCCATCCTTCCAGATGAAATCTTTCAACTCCTGCCTTCCGTAACTACCTCCCCCCCACCCGTCCTAGCTGGACTTTGATGGAGGGCATTAGTAACACCCCCCACCCCCGATTGTGTAGTATGAATTCCAAGCTCCGATTGCTTCGGGCAGAAAGCAACTCAGTCTCTCTGGTGTTGTACTAGTCACATAACTAAGGCTGGCCTTAGACTGATCGCCCTGCTTCAGTGTCCCAAGCCCTGGGTTCACAGACACGAGTCAGCTTGCTTTAGCCAGTGGTTCTTAACCTGTGTGTCGTGACCCCTTTGCATTGAACAGCCCTGTTACAGGGGTGGCAAATCAGATATTACGATTCATAACAGAAGCAAAACTACAATTATGAAGTAGCAATGAAAATAATTTTATGGTTGGGGGTTGCATTGCAGCATTAAGAAAGTTGAGAACTATTTTCCGCTTATCAGTAACGGGTTCATTTGTGGAGAAGGGAGTCAAGCTCAGGGTCTTGACAAACAGGCAAGCAAACACTCTGCCCCTCAGGTGCAAATTTACAGAGTCTTTACCGTGACAAATCCCTCCTGAGCAGGTCCCTGGGGATCTCGGCCAACAAATGCACTTTCTTTAGAAAAGCTAACAATAATAAGTACACCGCACAGATTTTCAGTCCTCTCAGGTAGCCCCACAATCGCTGTGGCACGACCAATCCCAGCAGGGGGCGGCATAGCCTAACTGCAGTGGTATAGTTGAACAGCTACCAGCCGAGGCTTTTACTTCTCTGCTTTTAACTGAGGGCCTTACCCACATGGGACTGCTGGCCGATAGTCCCACGCCAGTCTTCGGTGCTCTGGGTAGAATGCTTTTTCTCTGGAGTCGGGTGCTGTAACAATTATAAATTCCAAGTGAGTTTGCAGAAGTCTGAGCCATAGTGAGCCGTGTGCCTGGTGGCTTGATTGATTTATAGGGTGTTCTTCACCAGGAACTCCCTCTTCCTCCTAGTTCATCAGTCTCTACTTGACCTCCAACTTTCAAAGCATCTTCCTTCTGTGCAACTCAGGCTCTAGCCTTCCCAGCAAGTCTGTTCTTCCCTGGACTTGGGATACTTGCTGACAGTGGAGTATGGCACTGCTCATCATTTTATGTGCATGTGTCCATCTCCCTACTCAGTCTATTTGTGAGGACCTATATGAATTATGTGTGGAGGCCAGGAGAGGGCGTGAGGTCCCTTGGAATTGGAATTACGTGTTTGTGAGCTGCCTGACATGATTCTGGTCTGCTGCAAGAGCATGGCCTCTCTTAAACACAGCCATTTCTCCAGCCCCTCTTTATGGAGTCCTGACTGTCTGGAACTTGATATGTAGACCAGGCTAGGCTCGAACTCACAGAGATCATCGTGCCTTTGCCTCCTGAGTGCTAGGATAAAAGGCGTACATCACAATGCCTGACCATGTCTGTTTTAAAATAAATAATTTGGGCCGGGTGGTGGTGGCGCACGCCTTTAATTCCAGCACTCGGGAGGCAGAGGCAGGCGGATCTCTGTGAGTTCGAGACCAGCCTGGTCTACAGAGCTAGTTCCAGNAAAAAAAACTACTTTGAATTTGCAGTGGAGTCTTTTATCTTTATTAAAATTTCTTTAAAAATTTATAACCTTTATAAACAAACTCAAAATTAGAGTGTGCTAATGTAGACATTATCTCACCTCATTACAACCATTTCTGAATCAAACATGAATGACTCTTTTGTCACAGGAATCTATGTTATTATTATTTTTAAAATTAAGAAAAAAATCAGGGCCGGGTGGTGGTGGCACACGCCTTTAATCCCAGCACTAGGGAGGCAGAGGTAGGTGGATCTCTGTGAGTTATAGACCAGCCTGGTCTACAGAGCTAGTTCCAGGACAGGCTCCAAAGCCAAAGCCACAGAGAAACCCTGTCTCAAAAAACCAAATAAATAAATAAATAAATAAATAAATAAATAAATAATTTGGGGGGAGGTGAGGAACAGGGTCTCATATATCCTAGAGCTGACCTTGAATGTTTGATCGTCTGTCTCTCTGATCATCTGTATGCATATGTAAATTATTAAATATAAAAATTAAAAAGAAATCTTTAAAAAGATGAAAAATGAGTACTTGCATAGCTCAAAAGTGCATGAAAGCTTCGGGTACAACCCCTAGCACTACATAAAATGGCATAGCACATACATGTAATCCCAGCATGCAGGAGATGAAGGCAAATGAGTATGAGTTCAAGACCATCCTCAGCTATGTAGGAAGATAAAGGCCATATAAAGATAAAGGTCTCAGATACACAAGAGTCTGCCTCAAAAGCAACAACCAAGCCCTCATCTGTGCTTTCTACTCCAGAGAACACCATGGGGAGCGGGAAGTGAAGCAGGAGTAGGAGAGAGAGGGCTGAGCTCAGCGGGTGCAGGGCTGGTTTTCAGTGCACCATGAGATCCTTAGTAGCACCTTTAGAGTTGCACACTTTAAAATGACAAGTCAGCTGGGCATGGTGGTTCACACCTTTAGTCCCAGGCCTCAGGAGGCAGACACAGGCAGATCTTTGATGTGGGATTCCCCTCTGTATGCTGTTTTATTGCCAGTGGTTAATAAAAAAAGCTGCTTTCGGCCAGTGGCTTAACAGAGTATAGCCAAGGGGAAAATCTGAGCAGAGATGAAGGGAGAGAGTTGGCGGAGTTGTAGAGACGCCATGTAGTCACAGGAGGAGAAAGACTCCCACACGCCAGTATCATAAGCCTCATGGTAAAATATAAAATAATAGAAATGGGTTAATTTAAGATATAAGGGCTAGCAAGCAATATACCTAAATGATTGGCCAAACAGTGTTTTAATTAATACAGTTTCTATGTGATTATTCCGGGTCTGGGTGGCCGGGAAGAACAAGCAGCCTGTGTTTACAGATTTCTGAGTGTGAGGTCAGCCTGGTCTACAGAGCAGGTTCCAGGACAGCCATGGCTACACAGAGAAACCCTGTCATGAAAGACAACAAAAAAGGTAAGTCCTACATCAGAATTACATCACAGTAAAATATACTCTATAACACACTGCTTCCCCCCTCCCCCCAAAGACAGTCTCACTACGTAACTTTGGCTGTAGTGGAACTTACTATGTAGGCCAGGCTGGGCTCTGTCTCGCAAGTGCTGGGGTAAAGGTGTACACTTCCATACCTGGCTATGTTACAGAGCTATGCAGTTATAGTCACTGTTCAGCATTTCTGTGGCTGGTTCCACAGTCTCTCCCAATAGACCAAAATCCTCAGAGGCACAGATCCTAAAAGGTGTGTGCCGCCATACCTGGTCTACATTGCTTATTAACACAAGTTCCAACTTGTGTAATTGCATTCCCAGGAACACACAAAGGACAAAGATAGCCCCCAAGAAACAGTGCCGTTTCAGTTTACTCTAGCCGGGAAGTCTTGTGTAACAGACATGTCTGTCTTCTTTTACAAACTGGTTTTGCTGGGGGATGATCCACCTAAGACAGGCTGCATACCCGTCAATATCTGGGTTTCCAGAGAGGCAGCCTGATCCTCAAAACACTGGAACATTCAGTTCTAGTCTGCACCCTAGGAAACCAAACCTTTCCTTAGAGAACTGCCCATTTCTCCTTAAACTATAGATGGGTTGATTCTATATTAGGTGAGTTGGCTAGTTGCCATGGAAACAAAGTGATAGGTCCACAAATAAAAGAATTTGACCTAGGACCTTAATCGTGTAGTTTGTGCCTTAGGCCACTGGGTGCCGCTATTGTGCCACCAATGAGTTATCACACAGTGGCTGGTTCTAGAGGGAAGAAGTAATGACAAAGGATGAATGTGCCTCCTCTTCCCTGGGCTTGTCACTCACTCCTACAAAGGCACACTGTGATCAGGCTGTGAGCCTTGTGACTAGCAAGTTTTAAGTTTTACAATTACCTTGTCTATAAGATGGACAACAGTGACCTAGCTCAGAACATCTTTGTGGAGACTGAGGTGGAAATACAGACTAGGTATTCTGTAAATGCTCCTTTCTTCCAAGATCCTTGGGTTCACCAGCCATCTGCCAAGTTAAGTGGGCTATGGATGGCGCTAAGGCTAGAACCAAACAAGGTAAAGAGGACAGATAGATTCTTTCAGATCTCACTGGGATGTCAGAGGTCCACCAAAAGATCTCCAGAAACAGGCACTCGAGATCCTGAGGGGTCTTCGCGGGTCCTAGCGATGGCTCATGCTGTATTCTCCTGGGCTGTGCTACACTGGACGGTGCCCCTTCCCCCGTTTCCCCATGTATCCGTGCCCTAACACCAAGTGCCTCTGAGTGTGAGATTTGGAAAAGGGGTTGTGGCAGATACAATCATGCTGGATTCAGGGCAAGCCCTCCTAAAGCTGAGAAACAGGTAGGAAAGGCTAGCTGAAGATGGATGGGGCAAAAGCTGGAGTTACGTAAACCACAAACTAGGAAGCCAGAGACAGGACGGACTCTCCCAGGGCCTCTGAAGGAAGCACAGGTCTGCTCACACCTTGATTTTAGATGCCTGGCTTCCAAAACTGACAGGATAAATGATGAGTGAGTGAGTGAGTGAGTGAGTGAGTCTGTCTATCTATCTATCTATCTATCTATCTATCTATCTATCTATCTATCTATGTATTGCTTTGTTTTGGTTTTTGGAGACATTGTCTCTGTAGCTTTGGAGCCTGTCTTGGAACTCGCTCTGTAGACCAGGCTGGCCTTGAACTCATTGAGATTCACGCGCCTCTGCCCTCTGAGTGCTGGGATTAAAGGTGTGCACCACCACTGCCCGGCATAAATAATGTTTTTAAGTTGTGTGTTTCTGGTAATGTCTTAGAGCATCTCTAGGGAACTGACATAGCAGTTGTGAGCTTTACTTGCTGAGGTTTCGCAGTGAGTCAGCTGAGGGCTGCAGACAAGTACGACGGAAGCTGTGACAGGCACAGTGGCGTGGGCTGCCAGCCTCACTGAAGAGAAGGGCAAATCCAAAACTCTGAAGATCATTCTGTGCCTGAGGACCTAGATTCCCTAGCCAACCAGGTAGACCAGGGACAAAGGGAGACCGGGTGCGGAGGGCGTGCTGAAGGTCCTCTCTTCTGAAAGTCTACTGGAGTCACTCTAGGAGATGAATGGTGAGATACCGTGCAGGGGCTGGAGATGCCTCTGAGGGCTGGGATCTGGTGGCACACAACTTTAATCTCAGCACTCAAGAAGCAAGTCAGACAGGTCTCTGAATTTAGCATCTGTCCAATCTACATAGAGTTCAAGGACAGCCAAGGCTATATATTAAGACCCTGTTCTCAAAAACATTTTTATTTTGCTTTCCATTTCTCAGGAATGACTGTTGTATTTATTGCCTGACATTAAATAGCCATCTTGACACCAATCCCTCCCTCCCTCCCTCCTTCCCTTCCTCTTTCCCAGAAGCCATGGTGTAATGATTTAATCTTTAGTCTTTTGCTTATTTAATTTATACTTTAGTTTTTTTTTTAATGTCAAGAGAACCAGAGACTGGTGTGATGGCACACACCTTTAATCCCAGGAGGCAGAGGCAGGCAGATCTCTTGAGTTCAAGTCTAGTCTGATCCTACAAAGGGAGTTCCAGGACAGCCAGGGCTACAAAGAGAGACCTGTTCTGAAAAACTAAAAGGGCAGGGGGAGGGAAGGAGGGAGGGAGGGAGGGAGAGAGGAAGAGAGGGAAGGCGAACCAGAAAGGTGGGCTTTAGTTGAACAACTTACTCCCAGCTATTCCTGGAATCTGAAGGCATACAGAATTTTTTAGGCAAGATCTCCCCTTGTGAGGACATGGTCACCAAATGTGCTGGAGTAGAAACCTCCACTGAGAGCTCTGGGCCTCCAGCACCCAGAAGGGTGAACTGCTAACGGTAGATTTTTATGAGACACAAGCCTCACAACAGTAATTTTAGGCATGCATTATTATTATTTTACTGGCATCAAAACCAAAGCTCGGCAAGGTTAAATCACATCTCTAATGATGCCAACAATGACCCAGTGGTAGAAATGGAACCCAGTGTCCAGCCATGCTCTCGGCTTCTTCAAAGCACTTGGTTCTGTGACGGTTTCTTTTGCCAGAGCGTCTGCTGAAAGGCCAGCCGTGCGACCAGAAGCATTTGTACTCACCCACCCTGAATTAAGGGTTCCCACATCAGAATGGGAGATTTCCACTAAAATACTATTATCGTCACACTTACCTGTTCTGTGTCGCATGAGCAGTGGTGCAGGAGTCGGTGCTGGGTGGTATCATAAAATAATCTGTGCAGTTTGGTCCCGAATTCCTGTGTGTCAGCTGCCTGAAATTCACGAGACAGAGAAGGCTGAATTCACCACTGGAACCAGAGGAGGAGCTGCAGAGCCTGAGGAAGACAAGATACAACCTTCTCTGCTGTATTTATGGATTTGTCTCTACAGGTGCTCGGTATGTGGCTCCCATATGTCTTCCCACCTAAGCAAGATCTTCAACCAAGGTTTTTGTCTGCAGCAGATATCCCAGAAATCCCTCTGTCTCCTGTTTGGGTTGTAAAAGATTCTCTTCCCTAAGATGAGCGAGAAAGAAGTGATTCTCACTGATGCCGTGGGATTCCTCAATGAGACTAAGGAAGAGGTAGGAAGTCTTCCTCAGGCCTTCTAGAGAAAAGAGCCAGGGAATGCAGTCTGTATCTTGGGCATATGGATCAGCCTTTGCTGCTTCAGTGCTGGACTGTGGAGTGTCAGAGTCAAAGAACACGAGGAATCGCCTGAAACCATGCAAAGATTTACTTTATGTGTGTGCTTATATGTTTGTAAGCCATGTGTGCGCAGGATCCTGCAGAGGCTAGAAGAGGCGTTGTGAGCCACCTGATGTGGGTACTTAGAACTAAACTTGGGTCCTCTGGAAAGACAGCAGGTTCTCTTATAACAGCTGAGCCATTTCTCTGGCCCCCAACACATTAATTTCATACACAAGAAACTGAAATTCAAAAAGAAGTGACCCATTCAAGATCAGGTAGGACAAAAGCCAGGGCCGCTTCTTTTTACCCCATCAACAACATGCCCAGAGATGAAGTCATGACTTAAAGGCACTTGCTCATAAAGACATCATTCTTTGTGCCAATAGTTCAAAGCACTTTATTCTATGAAATAATTTTTGATAAAACAAGATATCACAGATGTTAACTGAGACACTATACACAGCAATAAAACTTATCAACTTAGAAGACTGGGTGATTAGATTAAGTAACAAAGTACACTATTTATTGACTAAAGCAAATTCTAACCCTGTTGAAATTGATGAAATGCCATTATATATATAAAAATATAGTTCCTTGGTTTTTACTATATGAGATGTACAAAAATTAAAATTATAGTGATAGAAATTAGTACTAAAGTTTGTCTATGTGTTATATTATCTTCTAAGAAAAAAGGAGCACATAAAAATAAAGAAACAGCCAGACCTGGGAAGCAGAGGTGGGTGGAGTTCCGTGAGTTCAGTACCAGCCTCATCTACACAGCATTCCCAAGCAGCCAAAGACTGTCTAGAGGGGAAGCAGCAGCAACAGCTAGGGAATCTGATCTGCTGGCAATCCCAGTTCCTCACCCTATGACCCCAGGGGAAGAAAGGTGACTAACACTGAGAGTCCATTTTGCATAAAGTATTTTCAGTCTCAGTTTCTTCAGGCACTACTATGAACTTTCACAGACTGAGGCTTATGAGTGCTCACATTTCTTCCTCACAGTTTTGGTTATCTGAGATCAGGGTGTGCAGCAATGATGGCTAATGTTAATTGTCACCCTGACCACGTTTAGAATCACCTGGACGGAAGGCCTCTGGACAGGCCAATGATTGCTCTGATTATGTTAACTGATGTGGGAAGACCCTCTTAATTGTAGGCGGAACTGTTGGTTCGCAGGCGGATCATGAGCTGATCTGAGTACTGGCATGCACACACACATTCATGGTTCTGTGTCAAAACACCATGGCTAAAGCAACTTGGGGAAGAAATAGTCTATTTTATCTTGGTAGGAACTCAAGGCAGAAACTGAAGCAGAAGCCATGGAGGAACACTTGCTTTCCACGGCTTGCTTAGCCCACTTTCTTCTGTACCCCAGGATCACCGTCCAAGGATAGCACCATTCTTGCCACAGCAATCATTAGTCAAGAAAATGCCCCTCAAGCTTGCCTAGGAGCTGGTCATTTTCTCATTTGAGGTTCCCTCCTCTCTGATGACTCTGCCTTCTGTTAAGTTGACTAAACACTAGCCGGCACACCGCTATCCTACCAAACACTAGCCAGCACATTGCTATTCTCACGACAGATGAGACTTTGGTTAAGTCTTTGTTGTAGTTTTGGCATGTGGCGCTGTCTATGTGCTGAGTGTTACAGCCTGAATGGTACTTCCACCATGGAGTCAGTTGTGCTAAGGTCAAGGGGCCCTGTTATAATCCCAGTCATGTGACCCCTCTCAGAGAACAAAACCGCCAGCTGAAGAGCACAGCCTCAAGAGCTTTGATCCCAGTACTTGGGAGGAAGAATCAGGAGGATCTCTGTGATTTCAAGGCCATTCTGGTCTACATAGTAAGTTCCAAGACACCAGGACTTTTTACATAGAAAAACCCTGTTTCGAAAAGAAAACCATTTGCTTTGTGTGTGTGCATGCGTGCATGTACCAAGTGCACGCATGTACATATACAACCACAGAGTGCACATGTGGAGGTCAGACGACAACTTCCAAGTGTATAATTGTTCTTATAAAAAAAAACCTGGGGTCAAATATTAGAGGGTGAAAGCTGAGAGATCAGAGAAGCAGAGCAGTCAGCCACTAAGGAGACCTTTTATCTCTACTGAATCCTCAGACCAAAAGGGTGAACCTGTCCTCAGACTGTGTCCTCTGACTGCTTCAGACTGAGTCTCCAGACTGTACTGCTCTTGTCTCTTCCTGCCTTATATTCCTCTCTCCACCCAGCCTTCCTGCCTCCACCTCCCTAGTGCTGGGAATAAAGGCATGGGACTCCCAAGTACTGGGATTAAAGGTGTGTACCACCACTGCCTGGCCTCTAGTGGTTTAGCTCTGCACTCTGATCTTTAGGCAAGCTTCTTTGTTAACACACAAACAAAATAATGTAGTGACATCCAAGAGTGATTTTTCTTCAACTATGTGGGCTCCAGGGATCAAACTCAGTTGTGATCAAGTTTGAAAGCAATGGATGAGTGTACCCCTTCCTCCACAGCCTCTCCAGCAAAGGCTATCATCGGTGCTTTTGATTTTAGCCATTCTGACAGGTGTAAGATGATATCTCAAAGTTGTTTTGATTTGCATTTCCCTGATTGCTAATGAGGTTGAGCATGACCTTAGGTGTCTTTTGGCCATTTGAACTTCTTCTTTTGAGAATTCTCTGTTCAGTTCAGTGCCCCATTTTT